CACTAATGAAAACATACCTATAAATATTATATTCCATTTCTGCTAATAGATCCTCCTAAATGTTACACACTGGACCTTGAATATATTTTGCTTCAACCCCAGCTGCTTGCACATGACATTTGTTCTTCACCTTGCAGGTTGCTGCAGTATAATTGGCTTGCTTTATGCTGCCCTGTGTGTGATTAGTCAGTTTTACTTTCTTAAGGATTCATCCTGCAAATAAACTCAGTTCTGACCTTTACGGTGGATACTGATTGGCAGCATTGCAATACCAGCTTTAACATTTTACCCACAAACACTATTTTGTTGAAGCATTTGTTGTTGTTTCTTCACTGCCTTGCATTAGCTGTTCCAGGGAGATGCAGCTGGACCCACATTGAGACTCCCAAAGCAGCATCTGGGAAGGGTGGTTATTCAAAGCTTCTGGACCTGGCAGCCTACAAAAGGTACTGGAGTCCAGCAGGGGACATCCTGAGAGGGTGAAGTGGAGTTCGGGTAAGCTCTTTTTCCTAATCAGCCTCAGGCACAAGGAATAATGTTGCCATGAAACAAGCTGCTCTCAGCAACTGTCTTTGCAAAATTTTGGATAAACCATTTTGCCACCTTTGTGCACCTGCACAGTTATTCTGGTCTTTCTGTTAAAATACCACAAAATATATGAGATTTAGCTTCAAGTATAGCTCCAAAAAATACAGTAATGAAACCTAGACTGTACATCCAAACAGATTCTTTCCTGCAGATCTTTCTCAAAAATGTTTATTTTTTTCCGGAGTGGGCGACACTTTGAGGGTGTAAAACTTGTTGTGTCATTTCCAATTTAACATTAATTATGATCAAGGGCCATAAAAAACATCCTTGACGCTATTAGGACAACAAAGAGTACTTTGAAATTCATATCCTGCCACATCCCTCCTCCTAGTAGAAGGATATCACAAACACAATGACTCATCTCTTCCTATGGATTAAAAATAATCACCTATATTCTCAGTTGTTAGTGATAATTGTTGTCTGGCAAAGGAAAATGTGAACACTCAAGTTTACTGGTCGGATCCTTTCAGCTTGGCTCATCACCTCTCTGAGCTCATCATCCTTTTTAGAATCCGCTTAGCTCTCCTGTCTAATTAACTCTAATAATGACTAAAGCACATTGGATGTATTTCTCTCCTGAACGCTGCACAGACTTCACAATGACTCCGCACACCTCAGGCTCTGTTGAGCTGAAACCTCTGGCAATAAATCTCGTGGAGATTATGCAGCCGTACAGCTTTGTATTCATGCATTGGTAATCCAGGGCATAAATAAACCTCTTTTCATCAGCTGTTCAGCTACAGTAATAAAAGAATAATGTGCACAGAAAGTAGAATCTGTTAAATAAAATACAATTACCAACATTACAAGTATTGACTCATAAATAAAAGGATTATACGATCCCCAGTCATTATATCCTCAAATATTAACCAAAATCAAGAAATACTAGTTACTTGTCTGCTCTTTGAATGTGACTTAAACTGAACTTCCGAAATGAATGCATAAGACACAAGGTAGTAATACAGATGAGGTTGCTTGTGGGTATTCAGCTTGAGTGAATATAGTTTCATTTGGCCCCTGAAACTTTGCTGTTTTCTTCCTCTGTTTCTATGGGGAATGCTCTGCAGGGAAGAAGCCAATTTGAATTAAAATGGAGGCCATCTCAGAAAAAAAATGAAATGATTTTCAGATAAACACAGGATTTATTCAGAAGCCGAGTTTGGCACTGTGAATTAGATCATTTAAAATTCAATTAAAGCATCCTCTGACCTATTCCTATCCAACTTTCAACGCCCTGAAAAAACCCATAATGAAGTGTCTGTAAGTATCCATTTATTTTGAGAAGAATACTATATTCTAGGACAGATCCCAACACCAGGTACTTCTGTACATAGAAAGCTCAATTAATGAACTCAACTAAATTCAGCTAACACAATTAGAACATTTTGATTTGATTAAAAAATACATCCACATATTTGTGTTAATCAGATAAATAAACAGCAAAATAGGATTACACATTGTTGTGATGCTGATCTTTAGTAAGTGTACAATAACCAGTAGGATAAGCTGCCCATCAACCTGAGTCAGTTGTCACCCCCTGTTGCAACAGTACAAAGGTTGAAAGAACGCTAGTTAGGTAAATGTAAGAGATGAATGCTTGAAACTAACGTAATGGATAAACGTAGCTATAAGTAATGAAGAAACAGTTGAAATAGCTAAAAGTAAAGGATGAATTAAAGAGGCAAAAGGGAACTTTCAAATTTGTGTTGATTCTGACGACCCCTGTGGACAAAAGCGGTAGTGTTTCCACTGTTTAGTTTCATTGATTTCAAGGGGAATCTGACCGAATTCGACCAGGTAGCAGACATTAAAAACATCTAGGCTATATAGAAATAGCTTCCCAATGATGGTCTTGTGTGCTTATGTAAGTCCGAGAGGCATCAGTATTAAATTGAAATTGAGTTTCATAACCAGTTCAAAAACTCCTTGTATTACATTTTAACAATTCAAATTCAATCAGATTTTTTAAATTAATATTTCAGTAAGTTATAGTGGTCCGTTAATCTACTCTTTCATGTGTTTCATAACCAGTTAAAAACTCCTTTGTAGTATGTTAAAAATTGTTGAAAAAGTAATGGATGGTTGAAAAGTCCTGCTTCTGTTTAAAGCAGTACAAATGCAAACTTGACCAAACCACTGATATTGAAAATCTGAGAGTATGAAAAATGTTTGTAACAATATCCACTTATCCATTGGCTTAATTTCTTGTTGCAGTCACTTTTATTGATGACAATGTATGGCAAATCTTACAAATTATTTCAACCACTTGTAAAAGGTACATGTTTGTGATGTCTTAGATCAGATGTGCTGAATAACAAGTGGCAGACACATTTCAATGAGGTGACTCTGGGACTTCAGCCCTACTTGATTAGCTTTTAATGAGGTTTAATGAGTGCAACACTATCAGAGTACTTTTCTTTCTTGGTTTTACAGCATAGTATTTTTGTGTTATTATTAGATTGTATTATTTACTCATAAAAAAAGATGCACAAAACATTCATTAATCCAAATATCTACAAAGAGGGAACCATACTGTTCCCAAATGTAAACTCTTTCATCTGCAGTAATGAACTGTTGATCTGAAGATTTGCCAGCTGGTCAGATGAGACACCAACACACTTACAGCGACAGCGAAAAGGTCAAACTACAAGGAGCAAGCGTGGGAAGCTCATTAGTGATTCCATCCTTGCCAGCCCCGGAGAGAGTTTTTTTTTATTTGAGTGGGAAGGTTGTAGGTTAGATAGGATGACAGTGGCAGTAATGTCAGGCTAGGTAAACACTATTAAGATAGTACGGTGACTGATCTGTCAGATTTACTGTTTCAGTTGTTCATTAACTGTCCACTTGAGGTCCTCAGTCCATTACCAATAACTGGAAAATGAAAAAAAAATCTACAGAACATTAAATGTAATGTGAAAATAATAAAATAATGGAGGATGAAGAAGGTAAGTATGAGGTTATTTCACAAAATAAAACAAAGCTGACATAATATATTTTGTTAAAAACACATGAACATGTCTTTCAGGGCCTGAGGGGACAACTTCCCCAACCTCCCTGCAGGTGGGAATCAGTGCTGTAGGATGGGATCAAGCTGACACACCAGACTAAAACATCAACTCTTGGGATTCCTCTATGAGCACAGCCTGCAGCTCCACCACACTGTCCAATGTCAGATTAATATTAAAATTCAGAGCACCTGCACAATGTCTCTGAGGTGCCATGTACTGTAAGATACTGTGGTTTTTAATACCAAAGGTTCTATTATTATTCAGGAAC